GAAACAATAAATAAGGCCACTGTAACATCAATCTGTATAATGGCTGTCTCTTATACACATCTAGATGTGTATAAGAGACAGGCATATGCTTGATAAGACATAAAATTATATAAATACGTATTTTGGTTTGGGGTTGTGGTTAATTACTTGTTATTTAACATACTGTATACAGCAGCATTTAATATAACCAGTTGTGAATTAAATTTACAAATTTCAGTAGAAAATATTATCATTAATATTACTTTTTAGCTCATATAGGGAGCTCTAGGAATACTCGACTGATTAATAGATTCTGGTTTTTTTTTTCTTTTTGTATAGGCGGCCGTTAAAGCCAGGATACTAATACTACCTCTAGTAATAGATTCTTATTTTTTTGTATGTTTTCTTTCTGTCTTGCCTAGTTTATCTTTGATATTGTTTTTATTCCTTGTAATTATTTTTTTAATGGCTTGTCATGTTAAATGTAATAGTTTCCTTTCATAGTCAATGGAATTAATGCATTTCATTAGCTTTCGGTACCGTGGCGGTTCACTCATTGTCACGTGGCCTTTGATGTTATTATAATCATGTGACAAGAGGCTATCGTAGATCGACGGTAGGTCGTATCTGCAATCTCTGTTTAATAGGGGAACTCTTAATCGACATAAACAAATGTTAATAAAGGAATGCTTGTGTATTCATTGTGTTATTTATTAATTTTAACATTGTATACAATGTATTTAAAACCCTGTTTCTCAAAGTGTTTCATTACACACAGAATAACATATACTCTAGATTAAGCACCGTGAGCTTATTTGAGTACAGCGCTTATTCAAGCATGTACATAAAGGAGGTTTCGCACGCGAACGCGTACAGTTAGTTTGACGAATACGTCATCATTTTGACATCATACACCGGCTGCTATCTGTTAAATGTGTGGACGACATGTATACCTCGCTCACTACACGTAAGTGAAAAAGTCTAGGGATTTTTTTTATTTCTAGTAGGATCTTCGTTTTTTTTTTTTTCACATTTTACATACGTGTAAAAAGTAAATGTATCTTTAACTGCGTACGTGCCATTTTTGTGAAATTTTACGACAGCAAATTACGATAGGATGCGTCTCATTTCGGGGTATCAAAACGTCGGTGTTTTAAACTTGGTTGTGTCAGGATTTTGTGTAGGCCTAGGTCTACCTTGTAGCCAGGCAATTTGGGTCATAAACATTAGGGCCTATCACAGAATAACCAACTCTTTTAGGCAACAAAGGAAGTATTTTTCGGCTACAATTTTCAACTTCCTAAAAACCCTACTAATAAAACTTTGAGAAGCATGATGAGAGAAATTAAAAGAGTACTGTATAGGCCTAGGCCCTAAGCTTAGGCTACGCTTGAATTGCGCTGTGATTGCATAAAAACACAGAATGGCTACAAACCGTTACGGATAGCTAAACGTATGCATACACGTATTTGCTTGCGTGTGAAACCTCTCTAATAAGTTGGACAGAATGCCAATAAAAAAATGGATTTCCGGTAAAATTCCATAATACTGTATAATATATTGTAAGAACGCATTAGCCTAATATACAACATAATTCTATGGTTTATTTCAACTCAAGAGGCATAAGTTTCATATTTTAAACTCTGTACAGAGTATCAAATTTTCTTCCTCAAAAAAATGGTTGTATGCCCATATACAGTCATGATATGATGTCATCATGACCATATATAGGCATGCCACATGTTTTTTGTCAAATAAAGTTTGATAAGTCTACACCAGGCTTTTACATCATCATGGCTTCGAGACCATCCTCCAAGAAGCGTTTATAGATACTCATGAACTTTGCGACGAATGCTTCTAAGTGATATATTACTTTACTACCCATCTGTAACCTGTGTTCGTAGAATGCTGCAATCTGGGTGATCTCGGATTTTAGCTGGCCGTCACAGTTAAGAATCAGTTCTTTCAATAAAGCCTGTAGGAAAATAATTTTAAAATAGATGAGCCAGTTTATCATGAACAGCACATTTGGGGAAACTATTTTATTGTTTAACACAGGGGTTCTCAAACCATAGGCTGTGACGCAAAATTGGGTCGCCAAAAAGGGGGAATCGCGAGACTCTCTGGGATTTTTTTAAGTTGAATTTCATATACTAAAAAATGCTGTTAGTACTTTGTTAATGACCAATAGTGACCAAAAAATGACCAAAAATTAATGACCAATACTGAGTTTACCGACCTGGATAGTGGGTCATGGCAAACTTCCAGCATGTTTGTATGGGTCATCAGCCAAAAAGTTTGAGAATTATTAAGTCCTGTCTAGACTATTAACTTGTATTTGACAAAAACATGTAACATGGCCAAATATGGCAATGGTGACATCACATCATGGCCATGTAATATATAGGTACATCATGATTGGATATATGCCGGGTCAACAGTTTTTTGTCAAAGCAAATTTGATATCAAAAAATCTGGACAAGAGCTTTAGTTTAACTGATTGCTGGTGTGCTACTCTGTGGCATTGCATTCTCTGCAGAAGTGCATCAGGTGACTGGCTTAATACACAGAGTATTAACATTGGTTTTCTGACTTCTGACAGGTTCAAAGCATTACATCCTCCAATGTGGATGAGGTAGCGCTCTTTCCATTAAGTCAGAATGTTCCTCCTTTGTTTCCTTCAAATCATCTAACATCATGACACACTTTCTTCCTCGAGGGCGCTTTCTTTCTATCCTTTCTTCTATAGTATCTTTCGATAGACCATTGCCTCTCAGAACATATCCGATCCACTTACACATTCTACATCTTATTAAGTCTATAATTGACCTCTTTTACTTTTTCCGTTTATTATAATTTTCTTTCCATCTAATATTCTCCATTTTTCTCCAAATCCACATTTTGAAAGCTTGCAATCAATCTATTTAATGTTTTCTCCAAATTCTCCAAATCTCTGACATCAGATACACAGTATACTGTATGTATACATACCCCTTTGATATGTATGTATATACTACTGTACTTTGATTCACATATATATATATATACCTCCAGTTCTATATTAAGCTCTGCTATAGCATTGAGCACTCTGTATGAAGATAGACTCCTCTTCAGCACACAACGCTCCTGTCTACAGTCGAGCACTCTAAGCCTATCTACAAACACCGACAGATTCTCTTATACACATCTAGATGTGTATAAGAGACAGTCCCTATACCAACAGCCAACGCTTACAAGAAGAAACTCATCGAAAAAGTGGAAAGCCTTCTTAAACGCATGAGATGGAAAGCATTTTTCTCACTAAACGGACGCAGCAACGACTCCGACTACGACGACACCGACAACTACGGACTTAAAAGCAAACGATGCCCTCCACAAATCACCGAAATGAAATCATTCGAAGACGACATGCTAAGACTAATAGAGAACGTAACCTTCAAGAAAGTAAATGACTCATTCCAAAACACCCTGAACTCCGACATCCAAAAGATAAAAAACTCCAAATCTATGTTCATCCCAGCAGACAAAACTCGAAACCTCTACGAAATGGACTACGACCGACATAGAAAGCTACTGAGGGATAACATCACCAAGACCTACAAAACAACTGAGCTGGCGACCGTCGATAACATCAACGCGGAAGCACTCAGCATCGCCCATAGACTTGGTATAGCC